ACTGGATATATGAAGCAGAGGTTGAACAACAATTTATCATTTGAATTTGTACAATGAACAAGAGGTTGTACTCAAAGGCCTGAAGAGTTCATTCCAAATTTATGATTCTAAGTACCAGTAAGCACAGCTCTTTTTCTGTTTCTCAATGCCTCTGGAAAAAGTACAGAATGACCAAAGTAGTTAAGATAATGGAACGCCTGCAAGAATGGTTTTGTTTTAACTTCCCTAAAGTTTTTTTTGTGAATAAATTACAGGTAATTAAATGCAGCTGTCAAAGAAAACTTGTTTGAGGTGCTTATTGAATCTCAAACTGGTCTTCTCTGAGCACTCCATGTTATCATAGGGATTGACCGTTAGCTTACCTGAATGGTCGTTCTCTGGGCACTGCGGGAGAGTCCAAGCATGGGTTAAATACATTTTATCTGCTCTAGGACTGAGCAGATTTTTCTTTAACCACGCCTCCTTTGCCTATTGAAGTCAGTTTAAAAACGAAGGTCTTATCCGCTGCAGGACGCCTAACAGGATTGTAACCGTGACAAAGAGTATTGGACACCTAGTTAAAACCTAGGCAGGTTTGGACTCTCCTGCAGTGCTGAGAGAATGGCAGTTCAGGTAAGCCAACGGTCATTCTCCTGTGCGCTGTTTGGAGAGTCCAAGTATGGGACATACCCAAGCTACTTTGTCCCATGGAGGGAAGAGTTAGTGTCCAGATTGTACGGATCCGAGGCAACTTTCAGTAAAACACGTCTTCCAAAGGAGGCTTCGGTTGTAAATTCTAATGAACGCTGTGAGGGACGTTCATGTAGCCGCTCTGCAAATGTCAATAATGGAAGCTTGGGTTGCCCACACTGCTGTAATGGCAGCACTCCTTGTAGAGTGAGCAGTCATTCAACCTGGCATGGTCCTGCCCTGATGCTCTTAAGCCATTTTGATACAGACCCGCAGCCAATGTCCAATGGTCGAAGAGGAGGTCTTGCGGCCCAGCGACCCAGGCTGGAAAGACACAAAAAAAATGACTCGGAGTAATGAAACTCCTTGGTCCTTTTAACATATATGCAAATAGCTCGCCTAACATCTAACTTATGCCAAGTACGCTCCGTGGGATGCATAGGTTTGGGGCAAAAGTTGGAGAGAATCACTTCCTGGGCTCTGTGAAAGTGAGTGTTCACCTTGAGGATAAAGGTGGGGTCTAGTCTCAAGATGACCTGATCAGTATGGATTATTCACAGTTCCTCCCTGATTGAGAGAGCTGCAAACTCTGAGACTCTCCTAGCAGATGTAATCGCTACTAGAAAGGCTGTGTTTAAGAGTCAAATGGCGAAGCCTGGTAATCCAAATTGGCTCGAAAGGCACGCTTGTCAGGGCTCAGAACAAACGGCAAATTCCAGGAAGGGTATCTGTGTATAGTCTGAGGCCGGATATTGGCCGTGCCCTTCAGGAAACTCTTGACCTGAGGGTGTTGACTCAGAGATTGGGATGAGCCTCTAGCGAGGATGGTGGACAAGGCAGCGAACTGATGACGGAGAGTGTTGAGTGCCAAACCTTTGTCCAATCTATCCTGAAGGAAGCCTAGCAGTTGCTGTATGGAAGCTGAAATGTCTCCGATACCACGCTCTTTGCACCAGTTTGAAAAGACGACCCATGTCGCATTGTATATTCGTGTAGTGGATGGTCTTCTGGACACTTGAATAGTCTTGATGACCTTGTCAGAAAGATTTTGCTTCCTCAGAAGCTCCCCCTCAAGATTCAGATGGCTAATTGGAGCCACTGGGGTTCCGGATGGCAGACGGCCCTCTGGCTGAGGGAGATCTGCTCCTGAGGAATTCTCCATGGTCTCTGGACGGAGAGGCTGACAAGGTCTGTGTACCAGGACCTCCTGGGCCAATGTGGGGCCACAAGGAGGATTTCCGCTTCCTCCGCTAGGAGTTTGGCTATTATCTGCAGAATAAGTGGGAGGAGAGGGAATGCATAGAGAAATTCTAAGGGCCACTTGCACCTCAGCGCATCCGTTCCCTCCATCTGGAGCGAGTGGTAACAGGAAAAAATCTTGGCAGGTGTGTGTTGGCGTGAGTAGCAAATAGGTCTACTTGTGGTTTGTTGAACTTCCGAACTATTTGTTGGATCAGATCTGGATGCAGACACCACTAGGAGTTGTCGATTGTCTGCCAGCTCAGCCAGTCTGCCTTCACATTGTTTGTCCCAGATATGTGATCTGCTCTGATGGACGCTAGGTGGCGTTCCGCCCACCTGCCCAGAGATTCCACTTCTGTCATGAATCTTCTGGAGTGGGCGCCGCCCTGCTGGTTTATGTGGGCCTTTGTTGCTATGTTATCTGTTAGTAACAGTACATGGTGGCCCATTATCTATGCTGAAAAATGCCTTAGGGTGAGCCACGCAGCTCTCAGCTCCAACCAATTTATGTTGTGAGCTGCCTCCCTCTGCCCTGTGTCAGCTGTCCTTGACAATGTGCCCCCCATCCGTAGAGGCTGGCATCTGAGGTCACAACGACTCTTTCGGGCTCTTTGAACTGGCACCCCTTCTCTACTGCTGTCGACTGCCACCATCTGAGGAAGCGGAGCACCTTCTGTGGCAGACGAACTTGTCTTGGAGAGTTGCTGTCCTTTGACCTCTGCATCGGCAAAAGGAACCACTGTAGTTCCCTGGCATGAAGATGCGCCCAGGGAACTACCTTTAGGCAGGAGATCATGATGCCGAGAAGTTGCGAGAGTTTGATGATCGGCACTGACCTGAGCTGCTGGTATTGACGAACTCTGCTCCTGAGGTTGCGCAGACAGTCTGGAGAGAGAAACACCTGACAGGAATCCGAGTCTATGATGGTGCCTAGGTGCTGAATTCGTGTGGTTGGCTCAAAATGGCTCTTCTTCCGGTTCACCAAGAAGCAGTGCTGTTGCAGGGTGCATATGGTCACCTGAACGTCCTGCAGGGCCTGGTCGTGGCTCGAGGACTGAATGATGTCATCGAGGTAGCATTCCAATTGAATCATACAGGACCGCAGGTGAGCCGCCACTGCTGCCAGAAGCTTTGTGAAGGTCCCGGGTGCGGATGAGAGGCCAAAGGGGAGAGCCCTGTACTGGTAATGCCTCCCATCATAGTGGAACCGCAGGAACCTCCTGTGCGGCGCATGAATGGGAACGTGCAGGTAAGCTTCTTTTAAGTCTATGGAGGTGAGTAGGTTTCCCTGCCTTATGCAGTCCAGGATGGCATGGAGGGACTGCATTTCGAAACACTTATAGGCCAGATGTTGATTCAGGCGTTTCAAGTCCAAGATGGCCCTCCACCCCGCTGAACTCTTGGGAACCAGGAAAAGAATGGAGTAGAACCCCTTCCTTTCCTGTTCCGGTGGCACAGGTTCTATGGCCTTTACTTGCAGAAAAATCTATTCAGTCTTACGGCAGATAAGACTGTATTTAACCCAAAATCATCTTATATTCTAGGAATAAATCAAAACTATCCCTTTATTTGACTGAAACATTAAACAAATCTACAGATAAAGTATAAGTACTTATAAGCGTTATAAGGAGGGCTCGCTTAAGATATTTTGTATTTGAGGCAATAAGTTAATTTCCGTATATGAAGTAGAAAGGGGTGTTAAAGAGCCAACCCCTGAGATTGTATGGAGTCCTTGATGCTTTTTTAATATCATCAGTGTGTGACATTTTCCCTAGTACAAGTGAAGTGTGTCTTAAATCTTCCATATAAGATCAACTATGTAGATCAGCAGATCACACATAATTTAATACTCAGCAACTTCTGGAAGGACTTTTACCTTTTTCTTAAAAGGACACTCTGGAAGAAAAAAAATGGCTAAAAGTAGAAAGCAAATTCTATTTTGAACTCTAGATTGACAGCTAGACAGCCTGAATCACTTATCAACCTGCAGTTAATACATGTTCAATGCCTTTTTATACATCTGGATGTTCACTCAATTTCACACAGCGGGTAATATATAACAATCATTTAATAACATACTTGAAAAACTTGAGCCATATATGGGATGGCCATTTTTAGCCAAAGAATATGAAAGTGGTTCGAAATTCAACATGCAAGAAACATGAGAGGTAGGGATTTTGTGTGTGTGTGTGTGTGTGTGTGTGTGTGTGTGTGTGTTTTATGTATTGATACGTTGTAAAGCAAAGCCGCCACAACGATTATCTTTTCTTCTGGAACTCTTGACCCATATTCGTCAGGAACAGCCCCTTACGAAGAAGCGAATCTTGTACGTCTTCTAAGGCAACCAGATATCCTGCTAGGTAACTGTGATCAACCCCTGCCCTGATCCATTCGGACCCCGCCCAGTCGCCGGCTAGAGATTCCGGGACCGAAAAGTTCGCAGCCTATCAGACAGAGCCACACCAGCACGGCACTTACCCCGCCCGCCTGGGTTCCCGCGGTACCGGTTTCTCGCCTGGGAGAAATGTATGGGAACAAGGAGCAAAAAAAAATGACAGGCTATATATATACATACCTTCTTTCGCCCACCATGCAAACGATCCATTGTTCATTTTTCTATAGCCGCCCCCTCCCCACCCCCCACCCCATTTGCCGGAGTGAAACAGGCAGCCAGATACTCAATCTTAGCTACTGAGCTCACCAGAAAAACGAGAAGGCAAGAGCCGAGCTCTGGGAAGATGGCGGCGATTCTCATGGTCGAGAATGGCTATGCTTCGAGACAGGGAGTGAAACGGGCAGGCGATGAAATTTCTCCCCGCGGGCTCCAAAAAATTCGCGCAGCAGCAAGCAGGCAGGTCCTACCAACAGACGAAGGGAGTAGACCGACCTCACTTGCACTTCCACCACCAGCCTGCCTCGCGCAAGCCCATGCATAACTTCCGAGTTTGAAGTGCAGCCGCGAGGGACGCTGGGTAATGTAGTTCTGTAGTTTCCTTCTTGAGTCATTGGCTTGTACTCGGAGGAGCCCCCTCTGTGGCCACCGACGGAAGTAAGTTTGCAGGAGGAAGTTTGCAATTTTTGATTCTTGAAAAAGTTGCTAGGTAAGTTTGCAAAGTTTGTTTTTAAGTTTCTTGATGCTTGAGATAACGAGTGAGGGTGTGATTATTATTTTAGTTGACAAAGAAAGGACGCCTTTAAATCCTCTGTCTTGTAAAAGGAGGAGAATAGGACTAGAAAATAATAAACAAGAGGCGGGTAAACTATAACGGAGAAAGATGTAAACTGACACATTTTCTTATATTTACAGGCGTATTTTGGTTGCAAGCACTCAGCATTGAGGATATGAGTTATGTTGTCAATCTTTCTTTGTTTATCATCAACTTCATATTTTTTTACTTCTATTACAAATGCACTCGATTTTGTCATTATAGCAACTGGTTTAATAGATGGCAGCAAAGATAAATTTTTGTAACTTAATATTAGATTTATTCTGGAAATTACGGACTCATTGTATCAGCATTGGTTTTATCTCATTCTTCATCAATGTTATTTTTTTTCCCTATACCTACCAGCCAATATTTTTTAAATAGAATTGTATGGAGAGCAGACGTATACAGGTAATCCTCAACTTAAAACCCAAAATATCTGTTAAATGAAACATTCATTAAGTGAGTTTTGCCCCATTTTACAACCTTTCTTGCCACATTTGTTAAATAAATCACTGCCATTGATAATTTAGTAACCCAATTGTTAAGAGAATCTGGCTTCCCCACTGACAGTAGTTGTCAGAAGATTGCAAAAGGTGATCACATGACCTTGGGACACAGCAGTGGTCATAAATATGAACCAACTATTAAGCACCTGAATTTTGATCACATGATTATGGAGATGCTGCAAAGATCATAAAATAGTCATATCACATTTTGAGTGCTGTTATAACTTTGAATGGTCACTAAATGAACTGTTGTAAATTGAGGACTAGCTATATTCAAAGGGCTATTGTTATTCTTTATACTTATATTCCTACCAAATCAAAAAGACTCAAGATGCTTTACCCTAAAATTGAATAAAAGCCATAAGAATGGAAAGGTTATGAACATGAAGTGATGCTATTTCCCATAGGGAATAATCATAGAATAAAGCAATAGGGAAGCACATTAAAAACAGTTTGAGGTTTTAAAGGAAGACATGCTGAAGGACAGTGCTATGGCTTTTTTGTACATTCACTAAATAGGTCAGATTAAAATTTGATAAGTAATTGCTGTTGTAGAAAAGCTTCTTGGGACTAAGGGCCCTGGGGGAAGCTATATACGGAGACAAAAAAATTAATGATATAATCAGAAAGAAGGCATGCCTGTTAGTAAGCTTTGTTGTGTTTTCTATACAAAATAAGAATCTTGAAAATTTGCTAAATGACTATTTAACTGTTTTACAAATTAGTTGCAAATTAATAACAGTTTTTTAAAACATGAAAATAATAATAAAGGATTCAATGTATTTAGATATCATATTAGTGATTGCTTGGTATTTTCCTATCATATAGAAAGTAAATATATAGATTACTCCAGTGTTTTTCAACCTTTTTTGTGCAAAGGCACACTTTTTTCATGAAAAAAATCACGAGGCACACCACCATTAGAAAATGTTAAAATTTTTTAACTCTGTGCCTATATTGACTATATATAAAGTACCGGTAATTCTCACTTACCAAGTTGACAGCGCACGTTCTCCTCGCTGCTCCGGTCCTCCGCGATTGTTGCTATGGGCGCACGCATGGGACATCAGTTATGTCCCTGCGTGCGCTACCTCCCGGCGGTCCCCGCGTTTTTAAAGTAAACACGGGGCCGCAGGGACTTAATAGAGGCATCCCTGTGTCCCGAAAGCAACTTTCGGGAAACAGAGATGTCCCGAGGCAAAAACACCCGGCGGGTGTTTTTCCCACGGCACACCTTACACTATGTCACGGCACACTAGTGTGCCGTGGCACAGTGGTTGAAAAACACTGGATTACTCTGCTGGAGTGTGCGATGTAGTTGTAGAACACAGGATTCTACAAAAAGGACTCAAATACAATAGAGGTGAATGCCAATTATCTAAAAAAAATTACAGCCCTAGAAGGGACATTTAAAACCACCAAACTCGCCACAGAGGTCCAAGAAGACATTAGTCAAAGCATCACTCCACAGATCAGAAGAACACAGGAACAGAATCAACTTACAACAGAAGAAAAAGCAGCCCTCAGAAATCTAATAAAGATTGTCCATCATCATCCTACCTGCAGACAAAGACCAAACTACAGTGAATATGCACAGAGCACAAAAAGCAGAACAAATACTGGAGGACAAAGAAGGCTACATCTCTGTGAATAGCATTAGAAAGAAAAACTAAGACAACCAGATCAAGAAAACCTTCAGTGACCTCACTAAGAAAGGCCAAATTACCAAAGAGGAACAGTGGTAAATGAGAAGCAAGAGATCCATCCTCCCAAACTTCTATGGACATCCCAAAATACACAAACCTGGCATACTCCTCCATCCTATTGTATCTCTATCAGGACCTCTACATGCAACATTGCAAATGAATTAACAGAAAAACTTTAGCATCTCACAAAAGGAAGCCATCATCCCATTAACTCTCCACTACAGTGTCTTCAAACAATCAGGGATGTGACTATAAATGAAGATGAAATCATCGTCTCATTTCATGTCACAACACTGTTCACGTCTATAGATCCAGAATTAGCCAAAGAATCAATGTCCACATTGCTTCACAGTAGACCTGACTTAATTAAATACATCAGGATTATGGATCTCATAAACCTCTGCTTAACTACCTAATTGCAATTTGATGGCCAAATTTACCAACAAATTAAAGGGACACTTATGGGATCACCGTTTTCAGGACTTATAGCAGAGGTCAACATGCAATGTCTAGAAGCCATAGAACTTCCACAAATACAACCAAAAATTATGGTGAAGATAGATGACATCTTCACCAAAAATGACTAATTAAAGAATACCCACAGAACCATCAACATTTTAAAAGGAATCCAGTTTACTAGAAAAGAAGAAAACAACTTTCCCTTTCTGGACATCCTGATCAGCAGAGACCACAATGACAACTAGAAACGCAAGTATACAGAAAAACTACCCATACTAACCCGGTGCTCTAGTGCCAAAGCAATAATCCAACCTCCGACAAGAGAATATATGTAAGGACTTTATTTAGATGAGCCCAAACACACTGCAGCAATCCAGAACAGTAGAAAAAGGAAATAGAGCATCTCTATAATATATTCCAACAAAATGGATATCCATGCAACTTAATCAAAAAGTCCCTGACACAATACAGCACAGCCAACGCAAAACCTGAAAAGAATTACATTGCCATACATCAAGAATATCTTAGACACTACCACGGGATTACTATAGCCACAAGGAATCAGCATAGCACAAAAGCCAAATAAAGCCCTTCAAAACATCCTAGGTAAACCAAAAGAAAGAAACAGGAGTCATTTATATTATACAATGTAACAACTGCAACAACCATTATGTAAGTGAAACAGGCAGAAAACTGGCAGAACTCATCCATGAACACCAACTGGCAGTCAGAAGACATGAGGAAAATAATTTCACAACATATAGACAGATTTAACCATAGTTTCAATTTGGAAAATGTGACAGTCCTAGACTAGGCCAAATAAAAAATGTCAGGGAATTTCTAGAAACCTGGCCCTCTGGCAAATCAGCTATCAATAGATACATATACATTAACAACATCTATAGATTATAATAATATGCAAAAGAGACAATCCCAAAAGAGCCCAACCAGCCCAAAAGAGAACAAAAAAACTTCAGCACTTCTCCATCAGTAATCAGCATCCAAATCAACATAGATTAACTCCAAGGTTAACTTCAAACCAACAACCAAGTAAGTAATAACCCAATCAAGAAATTATCGAAGACAAATCAGTAAACAGCCCAAACAGAATCTCTAAGACTACCCACACAGACAAGCAAGTCACCAGAATACAAACTGACAGCAAACAGCAGTCCTTTTTAACACTGATGATGTTACCTAGTTTGGGTAATGAAATGTATGCAAGAAAACAAGCAAGGTCAAAGAGCACCAAGGACCCCTCATTTCAACCCTGAGCTACAAATATTCTCCTTTAATATAATTGTATTTGGGAGTGGGAAAATTGAGGTCTGGAAATCTAACCCAGATAGTTGAAGTTTCCTCTCCTGTTTTCTATTAATAAGAGACATTTGGCTTAGTGCCGCCTTGAATATTTTAAAAGGATCTCAGAATTTCTGTATTCATATAGATCATCTGGTTCTTTCCATTACTTGACTACAAGTTGGTCAGTCATGTTATCTTGGGATCCACTGCTTGCTGGTCCTGAGAATCAGTCCAGTTCAGGAAACAAAAAATGTCCAGTAATGCAAGGAATATGTTATTTTGGAATGGATTCAATATTCTATCCCACTTTAAACAATGGAAAACACACTACATTGCTAATAAATATATTTCACTACATACTTCAATGTGTATTATACATACATACATGTGTGTGTGTGTGTGTGTGTATGTATGTATGTATGTATGTATATGTATATATATGAGAGAAGCCCTTAGTTCCTTAGACATTACTCTCAGCTTATTTGTGACCTACTGAAGTATTACACACCTTATTTTTGGTGAGCCGAGGTGGCGCAGTGGTTAAATGCAGCACTGCAGGCTACTTCAGCTGACTGCAGTTCTACAGTTCGGCTGTTCAAATCTCACCGGCTCAGGGTTGACTCAGCCTTCCATCCTTCCGAGGTGGGTAAAATGAGGACCTGGATTGTTGTTGGGGGCAATATGCTGACTCTGTAAACCGCTTAGAGAGGGCTGAAAGCCCTATGAAGCGGTATATAAGTCTAATTGCTATTGCTATTATTTTTGGCATGATTTTGGTTGGTCAACCACTCATCAGTAGAGTAATGGCATTGAATTTACTTGTACACAATCTGTTTGACAGAGTTCAAACTCTATGAAAATAGTTTTGTAACCTTTTCCAACTCAATAAATATTATTTGTTCAAGTTAGTACTTGAATATATATGACTATGTGTATATACTTGTACATACCTGCGTTCAAGTTCAGACTTTGATAGTGAATGCTCTTTAAATAAGACAGGACCTTCACTCACATTTAATTCTTATCCCATTGACTAAAACACATTTAAAAAGTTTCCATTCAAATGAACTGATAATCTTAGAGAGTCTCTTGCTTTTTTCCAAATACCCATGTGCCTAAATATATAGCTTTGGGTCATTTTTCTTATTGACTAAATAATGTTTTTGACTCATTTGTTGAATGGATTTTTTTGTCTAGGACTTGCATGAAAATAAATAACATTTTAGTTCATTATTTATGCAAAATTCAAAACTCATAAGTACCAGTCAATCAAAATACAAGTACTCCAGAAATTGTTTTCACCAAAATAAATTAGTTTCAATTTGTGAAAAAATGATTAGAATTGTTACTGCAACTATGCATTTTTGAATTTTTCAGAAGAAGTATGAATGTTTCTGAAACATGGCTGTTCAGTGGTTCCTCATTAGCATCTCAAGTTCATGCTGCTGCTGTTAATGGACATAAAAGAGTTCTCCTAAAACAAATATCAGGTAAAAGTATTCCACTTATATTATACTTTAGCTAATTTGTTTATGTTTAATTATTTAAAAGATCTCTTTCAGCTTAAAATATAGACTGTATTTCATTACTAATTTGATTATGGAAGACAGTATGAAACTTGTGGGAACATTTATGGGCATATTTATTTATTTATGGGGTTTGTTCTTGGTCAAATTACTTATCTTTTTGCTCACCATTTTGTTATACATTATACTTAGATCTTACTACGTTGATTTTGTGTTGTTGTTGATTTTGTGATGGATCCCATCACTTCAGACTTCCAAATGTATTTTCCATCCAGAATATTAGAAAGCCCAAAAGGCTATTATTTCTCAACAGTAGAAACAATTAACAGTCTCACTATTATATGTCTCAATTGTGAGAGAAAGTCAGTTTATAAATTACCTCATAGTTCTGGTATATTGACTCCTGCTCTGAAAAAAGTACTTACACTTTCTTATTGATTCTTGATTTTATCTGAAAATAATAGCAGAAATATTGAATGTTACCACCCTTTCTAAAGAATGTCAGAATAATACCCCATTATTAGACTAAGGAATATGAAGTAGAGATGCATTTTTTCTGATTATTTTTATTGAATTACAGAAGAATATTTTGAGCTAAGAACTGAAATCTTATGATTTCCCAATGGACCAAGGAGTATGGGGATATCAATGGGGGGGGGGGGGCAGAAAAAAATTATTACCTTGAAGCTTACCTTAAGCTGAAAATAGAAGTACCTTTATATAGATTTTATAATTCCAAAACAACATCATTTTAAACACTGCAAAATGAGTAAAACTTTGCATCTCTATATCTGTTTCCTGAGTGGTGCAGGTGAAGTTGTCAATATAATGACCCTGAAATTGGAAACAATTTGGGTCTGCATAGGGCAGTAGAGATTTCTGCTCAATCCTAACAAAGACTGAGTAAATATGACTATTTGGAACCCCTGGTTTGAAATTATCACCATCTTTGGTCTTGGATGGATCTTCACTTTCCCAGTCAAAACTAGTGTCAGGTTTCAAGTAATAGTCCCATAGCAAGGTCCCAAGGCAGGTGAATTCCTCAAAGAATAGCTTTATTGGAAATATCATATTGGCACAGATCTGGTGAAAACTGATTCTGAAGGTTCCCACGGTTTTCACCTAATTAAAAGAGAAAGTTTTCCCACAACCCCAAACAATCAGTCACATGGTCCAATCAAGATGCTGTCTGGTTGTCTGGTGACCTCACTCCTTCTTCCATGGTCCAGGTGTGAGAATGTCCTTGGTTCCCAAGAGAAAGTATTTTATTTTGACTACACAACCCCAGCTATCTCTAATCCCCACATCCTGTCCCTAAGCTTCAGTGTAGCTCTGGTCAGGTCAGCTTCAGGGTTGACAACTAGTGTGCAGTTGGGGAGGGGGGAATCTCCTCTGTACTTGTAGCTACTACTCAAAAAGCAGGCGTGCCCAGAGATTCATCTTGTATATTAGCTGCAATCTTTCCACAATTAAAAAAAAACACCCTTTGGATAGTCACTCATGCCCTAATCTCCTCACAATTAGATTATTGGACTCACTCTACATGGGTGAAGATCACCCCAAAACTACAACCAAAATACAGAAAAACAAGCTGTTGTAGGGTGTAGCCATATGTCACTATTACATTGCTAACTACATTTTTTTTAATGTTTCTTTAAAAAAAATAATTGTATGTTCTGAATTTAGATCCAGAGTCATTCACTGAGATGGGCAGCTATAGAAATTGAACAAACAAACAAATAGGCTGTCAGTTGGCTTCCGAGTGCAATTCAAGGTGCTGGTTATTACTTATAAAACCCTATATCCATGATGGTAAACCAATGGCATGCATGCCCAAAGTAGCACACCGAGCTATGTCCCCTGGCACGTGCAGCCTCACCCGTTCCTCTTGTGGGTTTCTGGCGCGCCCACACCAATTAGTGGCCTTCGTGTGTGCGTCAGTGCCGGAAACAGTGCCATCTTCCATTTTCCAGCATGAGCGTAGGCGCTGACCAGCTGATTGTCACACACACATGCACACTAGTACCTGGAGGACTAGCTGGCCATTGCGCACACCGGAAACTGGAAGTTCATTTTCTGATGTGTGCATGCCCCCTGGGCAGTTCCTCTTCTGGGTTGTGGCTCCAATGTGCATATGTGTCTGTGCGTGGAATGCATGCACGCATTCCCTTTTTGGCACTCAGTGTCAAAAAGGTTAATTGTTGCTGCCTTATATGATATTATAAGGTCTGGATACTGAGAGATCATTTATCTTCTAATGACTGTATGAGGTAAGTTCCTAACTGATATATAAAATAATACAATACAATAGAATTGGAAGAGACCATGGAGGTCTTCTGATATAATATTTTTGGGAAGGGCTTATTTTCAGGGGAGGGCTTATATTAAAGCTTGTGCTCAAAAGCCCCATTGGGCTTACTATCTGGGGAGGTCTTATTTTCAGGGAAACAGGGTAATAATCTTCCAATATTTAAAGGGCTGTCACAGAGCAATAGCAATAGCAGTAGACTTATATACCGCTTCATAGGCCTTTCAGGCCTCTCTAAGCGGTTTACAGAGAGTCAGCATATTGCCCCCAACAATCTGGGTCCTCATTTTACCCACCTCGGAAGGATGGAAGGCTGAGTCAACCCTGAGCCGGTGAGATTTGAACCGCTGACCTGCTGATCTAGCAGTAGCCTGCAGTGCTGCATTTAACCACTGCGCCACCTTGGGTCAACCTATTCTCAAAAGCACCTGAGGCTAGAGCAAGAAGTAATGGATTAAACTAGTGAGAGATCCGATCTAGAATTAAGGACAAATTTTCTAACGGTGAGAAAAATTAATCAGTGGAATGGCTTGCCTCCAGAATTCATGGGTGCTTCATCTGCAGAAGTTTTTAAGAAGAGAACTATTTGTCTGAAGTGATATGGCGCCTTCTGCTTGAGCAGGAGGTTGGATTAAAAGACCTCTAAGGCTCCTCCTTATTCTGTTATATCCAATTCTTGGAGACCGGACAAATTTTTCCAGTTTTCTTGATATGGTTTTTCAGAAGTGATTTTTCATTGCCTTCTTCCTATGACTGAGAGAAAGTGTCTAAAGAAAGGTTGTCCAGCTGGCTTTGTGCATAAGGCAGAACTGGAACTAACAATTTTCTAGCCTGAAGCCTTATCCACTACACCAAACTGTCTCTCATGATTTATATATACCATTCTACTGTCTTTCATATTTCTTCAAAATATCTATTCTTCTGTCAATTGGACAGCTCTGAATTTATCTTTTTTTAAATACAGAATGCTATCTTTGGTAATACTGTAAATTGAAAATAACACTTTATCTTTTCTTCTTTTTAAATACTGTTTGATTTTTTTTTAATCTTCTGGTCTATTTTCCAAGGATAGGAGGACTCTGATCATATACAACTTGCCACATTATGGGGGCCCATGGTATTTTGCTTTTTGCATTTAGGATATAAAAAGCAGATGAAACCCTGGAAGCCTAGCACTGGTAGAGAGAATTATTAAGTCATTATCCCTAAGGAGGTAGCTGAATGAGGGTATGAAGGGCTAGCAGGCATCTAGGAGAGAAAATTTGATTATTATTATTTTTAGATTTCTATCCTATTGATTTTCAGTCATTTGTTTAAAATGCTTATGATACCTAAAACAGCTGTTGTGAACATCCTCAAATGAGAGAATGGGAGGGAGGGAGGGAGAGAGAGAGAGAAAATAATCTCAATAACCTTTAGTACCAGTAATCATGATTACATTTGTGACCGCTTGATAATCTGAGAAGTGGTACATTGCTTTGTAATGGTTTCATTTATATCAATACAATACAATAGCAGCGTTGCAAGGGACCTTGGAGGTCTTCTAGTCCAATCCCCTGCCTAGGCAGGAAACCCTATACTGTTTAATATTAATAACTCTAGACAGCTTATAACACAATAAAAGAATATGCAGGCATTAATTATTAACATAGTAGCAGTTTGTACAAGTCTTATTGTTCCCAAATAGAGCTAATGTTCCATTGAAAGATAGTTATCAGTAGCAAATAAGTAGAATCTCTATTTTTCCGGTTCTGTTTAGAGACGTACAGGAGAGGAAATCACATAATGTACAGTAATTGTTCCTGTATTCAAAGCCTGTTAGATCTGCCTAAGGCCAGTTTTTATTGCTGGCTGAGTCAACATGCATAGTGTAGGCCTCATAACCATTTGTTTTAACTTCTACTTATCTCTTCCTATTCTAGGCAGCTGTTTCACAAGAACCATTACAGAATATGGATTTTATCATATTTGTGTGTGTTTGTGTGTGTGTGCCTGTGGAATTGAAAGTGTTGCCTCTGTTCACATCCTTAAATAACATTAAGTAAATCTTTGTCAGGAATTCTAGCTTTATATTTGTAAAATATCTTCTTAATGGAACCATTCCTAATATCCCACTAATATCCATGTTTATTGATGTTGAGTTACTAGCATAGCATTCTCTGTTAAAATGTTCATTTTTATTTTTTTCATAAGGTATGTGTTGCAGACACATAAGTCTACATAAAACCTACTGATACTGCTTACATTCTTAGGCAATCCTGATCTGAAAGACAAAGAGGACCAGTTTGGAAGAACTCCTCTCATGTATTGCATCTTGGCTGATAGACTAGACTGTGCTGAGGTTTTATTGAAGACAGGAACAGATGTTGATAAAGCCGACCATAGTCAGAGGACAGCTCTCCATCTTGCTGCACAAAAGGTAACTAAATACACTGGAATCAGAAGTACCTAAGACAATCTTACCTGCATTTTTCAGATGAAAGTCATCCTTTGTCTCCTTTGTTGCCCTAAGGCAAGCCATTCTTGATACTAAATAGAATGCTTAAAAATAGAAAGCTTTAGCAAAGTTGTTCAAAATTAATATACAATAAATATTCAGAAATTCTTTGATTCAGAACAAATTAATTTTAGGGATTATCGATGAAAGCCACCTTGCTACCAGTAATATATGTGACTGGAATGGGGATGCAGGTAGAATCTGAGCCAGTATGTGATGCAGCTGCTAAAAATGCTAATCTATCTCAGGATACATTAATATACATTAATAGGGCCATTACTGAAAGAAACTACTGTATTTTACACATAGACACATTTACTGGAGGAAAAAATGATTAAGAATTAGGTGGAAAAATGGAGAAGCTGAATAGCACAGTGGATTTTTTGTACTTGTATGCTTTTATAAAAAGGTTTTTAATATTCAGAATTTCATAAACTGTAAATGAGTCATTAATTTTAAGTGCGATAATTATCAGTACTCAAGCATCCATTCGAAATGTTTAAAAGATTCTAAGACTGTAAAACTTTTTGAAAATTGCTTGTGTATTCTGAAAGTAGTATTACCATATTTGAACTTTAAAAACAGTCCTTTATGTTTAGTTGAAATCTCTTTTAGCTAACTAGTATTCTCTGCTGATATGTTTTATATCTGACATCTAATCTTGCTTGTCACTGACTTGCACGCACTGAGTTGACAGACAATATCTAGCTAAAAAGGTCAGACTGAAAAAAACAGGGGAAAAAGGTGTGATATATTGAATTAAGGTGACTAACGAATCAGTTCCAATGAAAGTGACTGTCAACCATCCTACTCAGTGCATGCAGCAAATAAAGATTCCTGGGCCATTTTTTGTTTCCAAGAATATAATTTACTGAGCAGATATGGATATGGAAGTAGTGAAGCCAGTTATAAAGGTTTCACATGCAAACAGTAGTTATACATTCTTTTTTCCTTGGCCCTCCCATTATCGCTTTACTCCATCCAATCAATTGTTTAGTTTCTTTGGGAAAAAGATTCTGGTGAACTTTCCCAGCTGGTGACCTTGAAACACTGGTATGTCTTACCGCAGAGTCTGTGCTCTTGCATTCCATTACTTTCTTCCTTGAATTCCAACCCATATCCTCCCACCCCTTTTGCTTCTTGGATGTGAGCTGGGTTTGCAAATCGAGCCATGACAGTGACTTTGAATTGTTTTTTTCTTAATATCCTCAGTATGTGTGTTGATATGTACTTACTTGAGAGTTTTAACAAAGCAAGCAAAGTACCTGTATTTCTATTTATCCCCATAAATAAAGGGCAAGTATATTTTGGCACTAGAAGCAAGTACATTGTAGCATAATAGATTAACATTGAGCTTTCAAAAACCTAAATCTACTATTAGCCTGTTTGGCAGTACCTTGATTGGGATTGTTTACTTGATTTTTAGACAGTCATTAATTTTGGTGTTTATCCTGGTGGGAGGTGTTTTGGTCTTTTTGTTCCCCTTTGACTTGTTGATTGTCTCTACTCTGGCTTCTCTTCAGATCGTATAAATCTTTCACCTTTTGCACAGTATGCAGATGTTGTTTATGTCTATGTGTCTATTGAGGGATGGCCAATTTGTTAGAATACCAGGCTTCCAGAAATAATCTAGCATTTTTAGATTTGGCTTGGTCTAGGATGTTCACTGTTTCCCAGTTAAATTTGTCCATATTTTGTGAAATTAAAGAGTTTTCATAATATCTTCTGACTGCTGGTGGTGTTATGGATGCTTTCTGCTAGTTTTCTGCATGTTTGACCCACTGCTCATCTAAATAGAGTTGTTATATAACATCTCTTATGGGAGTTTCAGTTATTGGTTTGGTAGTGGAGCATTTGATTTCTGTGGGTGGTTTTTCAGTACACTTGTGTTTCTAGTGTGTTGTCACCCACGTGCAAGGATTAAAGATTTGACAGAGAGGTTCAGTAAGATAATGAAACCCACTGATTATTATCTCTTTCTTATCTTTTATGTTGGGATATAAGTAATACAAGTAAGATCCTTAAAAAAATCAGTGGCCTATGAGCAATTAGGCAGGAAAGACAAAGAGAGGAATTTAGACCTTTTTTTTTTCAGAACGACATAAATCTTTCTCAAGAATTGATATGATACAGATTTCTAAAAGTCTTGCAAATAAAAATTTAAAAGTAGGTATCTTACATAAATCTTTTTCAGACCAGAATCATTATTTTGATATTTAGAAAAAATATTTTGAATTATATAGATGGAGACTAAATGCATATATTCCACAAAAGGGGATGATTGTAAAGGATTATAAAAAGCAATTAAATGAATATTTGATAATAACATGGATTTTTCATCTCAAGGTGCCGCCCCTGATGGCAGCCTCTCTGAAATGGTCTCTAATAGCTTTGATGATTTTTAAAAATTATTTTCTGTGACTCACTGCAGATTACATACACAAAAGATGAGATCCTGAACATCAGGCAACAGATTCTGAACACCAGGCATCTCTCTAGGAATATTCCTCTTCTAATCTTTACAAATGAAGAAGTAATTTTGAAGAAATCACTATTGGGTAGAATTTCTGTAACTAAGATGAATGTCTTACCAAAGATACTTTTTTGTTACCAATCCTTACAACTGATATTCCTTTTAAACAATGGCAGATAGATATTTCTAAGTTTATATGGCAAGGGAAAAAGAAAACCCAAGAATTAGATATAAACAACTGCAAGATGCTAAAGAAAGAGGGGGTTTGGATTTACCAAACTTGAAATTGTATTTCAATGATTGTTGTTTGGTCTGGCTAAAAGAGTGGGTAAATCTCCAGAGTAGGAGGCTATTTGATTTAGAAGGTCATGAATTAAGATTTGGAAGTCACAGTTATTTATGATATGAAAGGTTAAAGTAAATGCTGATTTTAATAATCATTTTGTTAGACATGCCATTCTAAGAGTTTGGAATAAAGATAAAACAATGTTTTCTATGAAGATGCCTCTTGGGGTGCCCCCCCTCCCTCGCTTTTTTCAGAAAAGAAATAGGGGCGAAGTTGGACTGATGGACTTATGGTCATAAAATGTCTTTTAATTTGGGTGATCCTATACTCAAATCTGAGGAGTTAGAATCAGAATGACATGTCTGCCCTTGGTTTACATATTTAACTTGAAAGAAAGATTTAACCTAGACAAAAAGTTATGGATTTGACTTTGTTAAAAAGGAATAGGAAATCCTACTGTGTGGTAGTGATGAACATATTATTGCTAATGTCTATAAAATGTCATTGAATTTGAATTTGGAAAATGAGTGTGTAAAGCATTGCATGATTCAGTAGGCAAGGAACTTTGGATATAATGTTATGGTTGAACAATGGGACAATATATGGATGAAAGGTTTAAAATTATAATTTTAATTTTTAATTTTTTCTTTTAAATTATTATTATAATTTAAAAATATTATAAGATGGTGTATTGCTGGTATTTAACAACAGACAAGTTGCCAAGAATCTATAAAGGTATTTCAAATGAATGTTGGAAATGCTAAGGTAAAGTAGGGACTTTTATCATTTATGGTGGATGTTTGATAAAGCAAAGAAATATTGGAGTAAATTTATATCCTAATGCAGAAGATACTTAATTTGACTATAAAGATAAAACCAGAAATTTTTATTTTGAGTTGCTTTTGGAAAAAGACTTGGAAATTTCTTTCGGAACTTTAATGTCATATATATGTTGAAGGCAGCAAGATTACTATAGGCACAAAAATGGAAGGATATTTTGATTCCCACAATGGACGAATGGCTGCAAAAGTTGATGGAGTTAGCACAGAGACTAAATTGACTGTTTTGATTTTAAAAAAAAACACAACTACTTTTATTTCTACTTCGAAACTGCTTCTGGGCTTTGTTGTGCTTGAGCTGGAAAAAAATGAAACTTTGATTTTGGGTTTTACCCTATCTTGATTAGATAGACCTATTATTATAGAAATGGCTAGTTTACTATTACGGAAAAGTAAAAAGTTAAGGTTTGGTGTTATTATTTTATTAGACTACACCAAAGGGAATTGGAAATCAATACATTTCTTTCTTTTCCCCTTCTTTTCAACACTTTTCCTTCCCCTATTTTTCCTATTCTTTTTTGTATTTTATATTATAAACTAATAAAAAAATTTTGGCTGAACAAACAGTAGCTCTCAGCAGCATGACAAAATGAAGGAAATGGAGGAGGAGACAGAGGAGGGGTAAATGAATACCATGTTTCCCTGAAAATAAGTCAGGGTCTTATTTTCTTTTGACCCCTGAAATAAGTGCTTGGCCTTATTTGTGGGGAGGTCTTATTATTTTTGAGGTACAGGAGGCGGCAAGCATGGCCACCTCATGGCTGCTGTTGTGTTGCAATATTTTCAGGGATGGCTTATTTTCAGGGGATGGCTTATTTTAGCTTATGCGCTCAAAAGCCCAATTGGGCTTATTATCCAGGGAGGTCTTATTTCGGGGGAACAAGGTAGGAATGCTCCATAGACTGAGAAAAAGAGGGGTAAGAACTTCTCTCCCTTCATTCCATCTAATTACACTTACTTGTAAAGAAGATGGATGAACTGTTCCTTTTAAATAAGATTAACTCAGACTTTTCTAACTCAATAGCTCTCTACTTCACAGAAACGTGACTAAATAATTCGATAAATGATAGCAGCTTACAAATCCTAGGGTTTCAGATTCAAAGAGCAGACAGAATTGTAGAAACATCAGATAAAAGAAAGGAGATGGTATCTGTTTTTTATATTAGCAACAGTTGGTGTAAAAATGGTACTACACTAAATAAATTTTGTTATGTGGACTTAGAGACACTAACTCCTTTTTGTAGACTTCAGTTCAGTGTTCAATGCCATAATTCCAGAAATTCTTCTAGCTATGCCTGACCACACTTAGATTGTAAGCTTTCTA